GGCTGGCTGGCGTGTGGTGCTGGGGGATTGAACCGCGGTCCCTGTGCTTTGCTGAGCTTGTTCTAAGTAGGTGCTTTAGACCACTGAGCCATCTCACCAGCCCATCAGTTTCTTAAAATAAATAAATAAATATGGAATTCAGAATGTTTATCTCTTTCAGAACCCTGTTTTGCGTGTCTCAACTTTGTATGACACAAACCATTTTCCTTGCCATTCCTAAGGGCAGCTTTTCATTTCATTCCATAAGCTCTGAGTGTACTGACAGTCTCGGCTCCAGGGACCGCCCCACCTTACTGGCCTTGTCCAGAGAACACAGTGCCCGGAGCAGCCCTGTGCTAAGCCACGTCATCTGCAGCCCCGAGGAGATCTTTCTAGACTGCAGGGGCCCACCGGCCCTGGCGCTCACACCACCAGCTCTGCACCCCAGTCCCATCCCTAAGGACTGCGAGGTTGTGGGCAAACGTTTAATTTCTCTGAATCTTTTCCTTGTTTCCCAAACTGATAAGCCCATAAGGTAATACTACTCTTATCTGGAGATTGAAGCAAACATTTCTGAGCTCAGGCCCAGCGCCCTGGTCACGCGCACTCTTGGTATATAGTGGAGGTGGAGCAGCGAGCATCTGCCGCATACACACAAGGCTTCCCTCCCCTCCCCTGAGGGGTTCTCCCCCCCCCCCCGTATTTAGTACACTGGGTCTCACAACACAGATCAGACTTGTAGTGTTTCTCCTGTTTTCAGCCTCCCAAGTGCTAGGGTTACAGGTGTGCACCACCAGGCCATCTCAATCACCATCTCAGCGCAGCCCAGGGGCGGGGCTGGCATGGCACGCCAGGATCAAACCCCAGACCTGTGTCTGCCTAAGCAGGTGCTTTAATCCGCAGAGCTATCTGGCCAGCCCTCCCCTGAGAAGTTCTGAAAGACAAATACTTTCATTTAAGCTGTGTACAAATAAAGAATCTGAAGTAAGTCACATAAATATTTAATCTACAAAGGAAATTAACTGGAATAAGGGTCTTGGGCATAAATACTCCATAGTACATCACACAGAAAATTTTCCCCTGGGTTTTTTTTTTTTTTTTTAACAAAAGAAGGGATGTTTCGTTCTTGAATATTAAGTTCTGTCAAGTCTTAAAATTTTATAGAAACTTTTTTTTCTAAAAATTGAATTATCATGCCAAATTATAAAATAAAATAAAACAAAGCAAAACAAAACTTTTTTCTGTCTGTTCAGGTCAATTTACGCTACTTTTGAGTCGGAAGTTGACCTGAAAGGAATCCCGGTGTACAGATTTGTTCTTCCGGCCAAGGCCTTTGCATCTCCGTTGGAAAATCCAGACAACGAATGTTTCTGCACAGAGAAAATCGTCTCCAAGAACTGTACATCGTACGGTGTGCTGGACATCGGCAAGTGCAAGGAAGGTGCGCACAGATGGCCCTGCCGCGCCTTATGACGTGGCCTGAAATGTCCCTTAAAATGGAACCTGTACCCAGAATCTCTTTCTACCCAAAAACTTAAAATTAAAACAATCACAGCAGTGTGGTCGTCACAGGGAATTTTTGTGTTGGCTTCAGAGACCTTCTGAGGCCTCCCCCTTGCTTCAGGTTGGAGTGAGGGATGCCTGGAGTGTCCTGCATTATTCACACATGCTTGTTCTAGTTCCGTTTTGGCAAAAAAAAAAAAAATGGCAAAGAAAAGTAAACATGTCCAGTGTCTCTGCAGCGGGGATTGGCAGATGTGCACAGCGCAGTCTGTCTTATTTTATAATATTCTCTGTACTCTAATGGGTGTACGTGAAAAAAGATGGAAATGCTTACAATTGTCAGTCCATAGACAGGTTTTGCAGACATAGGAGAGAATGTGTGTGTGTGTGCATATGTGCATGGAAAGCTGCCGATAGCAGCTAAGCTTTGCATACTAGAAAGCAGCACCTTGGGCTGGCCAAACGCTCAGTGGATTAAAGGGCCAGCAAGCAGGCACAGGGGTTCAATCCCCGGGCCTGCCGGGCCTGCCTTTCCCCGGGGCGTGCTGAGACAGCAATTGAGACTGGGCGTGGTGGTGTGCGCTTGTCATCCCAGCTCTTGGGAGGCTGTACACAGGCAAATTACTATGAGTCCGATCTAGTAGTGAGGCCCCGAGCACCCTGTAGACCCTATTCTAAAATACAAAAGAAAAGAAAAAGCAAGCAAGCAACACCTAGAGAATGAGTGACAGACATCAACTGACTGGTTAGTAGGAGGGCAGGATTTTATAGTTTGTTTGTGTATTAGGAAACTGCTGAAAATATTCACTATCAATTGTATTTTTAATCAGATACGAATTTTAAGGAAATATTTGTGAGTGCTATATGAAAGGCGAAAATGACTTCTCTAATCGACTCTGAAACCTTGCTTTCAGGAAGGCCTGTGTACATTTCCCTCCCTCACTTTCTGCATGCCAGCCATGACATTTTGGAGCCCATCGAAGGCTTAAACCCAAATGACGAAGAGCATAGGACATACTTGGACGTTGAACCTGTAAGCAAATATATTGTTGATATATCTTGCTCTATACTTTAAAAATCAAATTTAAAGTATTCTTGTCATACTTATTGGTCATATTTTAATTTCCTATTATATTTCAAACTAACTTTGCCATAACTATTGATCTATTCTTAATCAATTACTGCAACTGTTCATCAGTGAACATCACATTGCTTTCTTCCCGTTGTGGTGCGTGAATACCAAATGATGTTACCTGGAGCGCACACAACTCTACAAGCTGTTCTAATGAACCATTGATGTGGAATGTAATCATAACAGTGAGTCTAACTGGCTTGCAATGATTTGTACATATTATTCTTTTTTGCTTACATTTCACTCAAGGGTAGGTATTTCCATGAGGAGATCCTTGTAGGCTGTGAAGGACTGAAGGATTTTATGGGTTCATATAAATTTGGGGCAAAATCTAGTGTTTTGAGTGTCAAGAAAAGCTATCACAATTGCTGTAAGGCAGCTGCTTCATTCTTTATTTACTCTGCTTTTCTAATGTTAAGTGTGGGGGGGCATGCAGCTCATATTTGAGGATCTGGTCTCCAGTGCCATGAAATAAATTGAGTTCTAGAATGTACAGGCATGTTTTTTTATTTAAATAATAAGAATGAGAAGTGGTCTTATCTAATAAGACAAATGCCTGAATTCTGACCAAATTCTTGAGCACATGTGGGTTTGGAAATAACTTGGAGTAACTTCATTCTGCTGCTGCTGCTGCTGCTGCTCGATAAATGTATTCATTAAAAAGCACTGGTAATTCGCTTAGTTTGTTCTCTTTTTAGATAACTGGATTCACTTTACAATTTGCAAAACGACTTCAGGTCAACATACTGGTCAAGCCAGCAAGAAAAATTGAGTGAGTCTCTTTTATTTTTATTATCCTGTTACAGTATTTTTATTGTTTTCTTAGAAAAATGTAAGTCTAAGAAAGTAAAAAGAATACCAAATGTCATCTTCTCTTGATGTTCATGTCATTGTACAGTAACTATTACAAGCTTATGATAATTTGCCTAAAATTCTGTCTAATGTTTATTGATATGATACATTCATTTCATATTTTGGAATGCTTTTATTTATTCCATTTTATTTTTTGCAGAACTGGGGATTGAACTCAGGCCCTTGTGCTTGCCAGGCAAGCACTTATTCTACTGAGCCATCTCCCGGCCTCTGGAATGCTTTTAATTTACCTTCATTGTGGTCCCATTTTTCTAGAACCCAATTATTTGCACTGCAGTAATAATTAGTTCACATTTTTCTATCTTTAGTAGAAATTGTTGGCAAGAAAAATGTGTTTAGAAAAAGCCAATCTAATTAGAAATTTATAATAGAAAGATTTATGAGTGAAAAGTCTGAGAACTATATTGTATTTTAAATAATTTATTGGAGACCAAAATCAAGAACAACTATTTTCTGAAAACTTACCCTACTAATTACTAAATGTTTGATAAGTACTTATAAATATATCAGTGCACATTTTCATGATAATTCTCAATGCATTTTTCAGAGCATTAAAGAACTTGAAGAGGAATTATATTGTGCCCATTCTGTGGCTAAATGAGGTCAGTATTTTCATTTATCAAAAACGTCAACTTATTGTATAAAAGTTTCAGTGTTTCAAAATTATATGTATTTAGTATTTGAATTTGCATGTATTTTTATGTGCATATGGATCCACCTACATATTGATTACACCTATTTGAGAAAATTAAACAGAAATATTGGTTAAGTTCTTGGTTTTCTTTTTCTTTTTGGAAAAAAAAATGAAAAGAAAAATCATTTTAAATTACATTAAAAAGTATTTATTGCATAGATTTCTTGTCATATTACTTGTTTTAGGAAAGAGACATGTATGCATGTAACACCAAGAAAATTAGCGAGACTCTCGGAATAGACTAGTACTAGCAAAAACCAGCGGTGCTTGCAAAAGCACACCTAGCCCAGGCGTGGGCAGCTTACCGCGCGGCCTGATGAGCTACTGTGGGTGCAAATCACGGCATTAATGAATCACGGAAAGAAAAGTGCACCCCATCCGGGTATAGCAAGAGGAACTGTCCACTTCTGTGACCTCCCTGTTGCTGGGAGACAGCATTTTGAAAATTGTGACATATTTCAGGGATACAGATTTGAAAATAAAACGAGCCGCAGTGCTCCGAGGAGCGCTACCCAGCTGCGCTGGCCACAGTCTCGGTTTGCCACGTTTGCTTCGAAGGGCGGCAGGGAGTGAGTCCGAGGACGCAGGGGCTCGCACCTGCGCGGAGGCGAGGGGCCGCAGCCAGGGCCCGCGCTTGTGCTTCTCTCCGCTGCCCCCGTAACTGTAACTGTCATTTGATTGCAGACTGGCACTATCGGCGATGAGAAGGCAGCAATGTTCCGGCAGCAAGTGACTGGAAAGATCAAGCTGCTGGGCCTGGTGGAGATCGCCTTGCTCAGCGTCGGCGTGCTGATGTTTGTGGCCTTCATGGTTTCCTACTGCGCATGCAGGACGCAGAGAGTGAAATGAGTAAGCTCGCCGGGGCGCGCCGCGGAGCCGCCGGCGTGTCCCTGCCCTGGCAGGGGTCACGCGTAGTGTCCCTAGACGTGCCCAGCCAGCAATCGTTTCTTAACCTGCTCTCTAGTATGTCGAGGTTCTTAATATAAATGTAGAAACAAATGAAGATTGAATGTCCCAATAAGGCCTGTAAATATCAAACATTACTCCACTGCATCTGTAATTCTGGGAGGCGCGAGGAAAACTGTAATTATGAGCAGGGTGAAGTTAGCACGCAGGCAATTTTCGTCCTGCTCAGTTCTTACTCATTTAGGTCTAATTATAAGAAAACCACAAGAAGATAACTCACATTACCGATTAAGAAAACTGATATAACATTAAATGTTGTGGAGATTTAAGTAGATTGAGGGAAAAAAGAAGTTTTAATACCCAGCAAAAGATGGAAATAAGTGTAAAATGTACACCTGTTTTCTTAAACTAATTTTATTGAGAAAGAAGTAGGAATGAGACAGTTTCAAAACAGATTAGTAGGACGGTTACAATAATTAATACATTGTATATTGTTGTCTTTGTAGTAGTTATTCATGTACAAGATGCAGACATGATATCTTGTCTAAACACTGTTAGTTCAAAACTTTCTTCCCATTGAACTAAGAGAAAGTAGCTGTATATCTATGCTATTTTGTATATACAGAGATATACTTTTTCACCACAAAATTGTCCTTAATTTTTATCCCTCTTTTTATTTACTTTTGTCAGAGATGGGTATTCCATTGCCATTCATATATTGTAGGTGCATGAATTCAACAAAGTAATCCAATAGAGTATAGCAGTCTATAATAGTAGTAGGTTATCCACAAGACTGGCAATGTCAGAAGATGTTGACTTGAGCCTTGTACAGCTCAGCATATAAAATGTACATCTGAGTGAAGCAGGAAAGTGAATGAAGATATCAGTGACATAGAACAAGAAGCTGCGCGAGGACCTGCTGGCTGTGTCTTGTGCAGACCCAGGGTCCCCAGCAGCCCCTCCAGCCCTGGGTTCAGCCTTCGCGCAAAGTGTCGGGACTGCTCAGGGAGTCCTGAGTGTCTAATTGTTCTCCCCCACACATGGCTCAATTTTACAGGAGCTGGGCATTGCTAGACGGTCTTTGTCAATGAACGTATTAGTTTTGCTGCCATATTTATTGTTATAAGATAAATTATTGCCTGTATGAAATTCTTCTTTACCAGTTATCTGACTTACTAGACTTAGGATTATAGGAGATATATGTTTCATAAAATCTCAGTTTTGAATAATCCAGAAGCTACAGCTCTGGGAACTGACTAAAATGAGGGGCTAGATGCACAGGAGGGAGCACAGTATGATATGCAAGACCACAGAGGGCTTGCTATCCACTGTGTCTCAGACAGACTTACCAGTGGTCCTCGGTCCTTCTGAAAACAAGAGGCGCACCCCTCTGTGTGGAAGGTGGTCTTAGGCGTGGGGTGCCTCCGCACTCCAGATTTCCTCTGCTCCCCTTCCCTGTCTGGTTATGTGCTGCTCTGAAGAGTCAAGAAGCAGCCTGCTGTGTTCCGTGTCTGGAAAGGGAACATGCTATGGTGAGGTGCGTCACAGAGCTTGCCCTGAAGAAGTTGGGCTGCACAGTGCGGAACTTGTGTCTTGGATATAAAATATTCAGTTTCTAAGTTATTACTCACTGCTGTCTTCTAAATGATAACAGCCCTTCTATTCTTACAGGTAGTCAACGAGTCTACATTGTACCAGCTACATCAAGACCTTTGGTAGTATTGATCTACAATGTGGAGATTTAATATGCTTTATTTTTACAAAACACATCCTTTCTTTTAGTTAAATAAATGGTGGCACTCTGTCTATATATTTTGCACTAAGCCCCAGCACATTTTAAAAGAATTAAGATGTCATTAAAGTCTATGCTTTGGACAAAACCCAACACTCTTCATATAGTGGAGCTGCTATCAGTTTCTAGCATGAGCCAATTTAATTTGGTTCTGATTTGTGGGCTTGTGCTGTGGTGGGTCTCTCAGCAGAGAAGTGGACATTCAGGACAGACTGCTGCTTCCTTCATCAGAGGGTGGCTGGGTCCACGCTTGGACTGTCCCTGTTCAGCTGCAACTGGCAGACCCCATGAGTGTCACTACATTGCCTTACATGAGCACCAGATATTGAGAGACGTTTAGTGACGGAAGATCACAGTAGGCCTGAGCCATTCGTCCTACATTGCTTCAGTTTGCTTCTCGATTGAACCCTTTGGACAGTGATAGTAGAAACTGTAACCACTTTGCACATCATGGCAGTGACCTTATACTTTTTGTCCCTGCTGCAAATGGACATCGTCTTTAGCCAGCTTCTGCTCTTCGTATTGTAAAGACTTTCCTATTTTCCATGGTTTGTAGCTCTTCTGAAAGTCTGCGTAGAGTTTGGTCTTTCTACTCAGCCTCAACTGATGCCCGGCAACCTCCAAATGCAGTTCTAGTATTAAGAGATGTAAATGTTGATGAAAGGATTATTGTATGGGGTATCATGAAGAGCAGAACATTTATCTAAATGCACTTGCTGTAATATTTCTTGCTTTAATAGTGACTGTGGAAGGACTATTTTCAACCATTAAAAGGTTGCCTCCTAAACTTTTAAGGTTTTGTCTAATTTCTGTTGTATTATAAAACATTAAGCCTAGTTTTCTGCTTTTTCGTGTACTATCTTAAACTGTACTTCTGTCTGAATTCCTTTATGAGTACTTACCTGTAGGCTATTTGTAAGCCAACTAAGGGAAGTGCAGAAAACAAACAAAGAAGTTGAGTTTCATCTTTCACAGAGCGGTGTGCGACACAAGCTATTTTTTTACTAAGGTTACATTAATAGGGTTTTTCTACTCTCTTTGGCAGTGTGGGTTCAAATTTTTGCAGGGAGCAGCAGTCTTAAAAAGCTGTGACAGAGAAAGGGACTATGAATACAGAAAAAATAACAGTAGCTGGCCTGTTTAGATCTTTAAAAGACAAGCTGACCTCCTTATACAAGTTGTGAGAATAAATGTTGAAAATTCCTATTGAAGCCCTATAACTAAGAGACCACCACTTTTAAGAGATCTTTGCAATCTCTGAAAATGCTGGGAAGATACTTACTTGTGCTTTTTAACTGGAAAGGGGAAGACATCAGCCGGAGGTACTGACATGGAAGACGAGCATCTAACAACTCCCTCAGGAGTTCACATCTATAATTTTCGTGCTAAGATCTGTGCAGATAACTTGATGTATAAATCACAAATGACATTTTAAAATATCTTACCAAGTGGAAAAAGGAACTCTGTAGAGTTGAAACTGCTAACACAGCTGGGCTCTGCGATGTGCCCACTCCTGCTCCCCACGATGGACACAGGCTCTACATGCTGCCAACTCATCCTAATGAAAGACAAGGCTGGAGTGAGGCAGCCCACCTCCCCCTCCCACGGCATCTGCAGATCCAGGCCTGCCTCACTCTTGTTTCAAATTGATGTTCAATTCATGCCTTGAACAGCAGAGAGGGGACTGAATTGTATCTTTAGTATTGTTTAAATGCACACATGTTCTAAGTCTTACATTTCTTCAGAATTCCCTTCCTCGAATTCTATGAAGTGTGTAAAAGAGGGAAGGCAAACTATACAGAAGTGGAAGGAGATTATATTAAAATGTCCAGGAGGTAAAACACTTTTTCAAAAGAAGAGTTTTTACATGAAAATCATGGGTTTGAGGGACAGGGTGGAACACGCCTGAACCAGTCCTCTATGGAAGCATCAAGGACATGAGCGCACATGAAGCACCTCCAGGGTCACTCAGGAATCAAGGTCAGGAATTGCAAGGGCCGGGTGTAGCAAAGGTAGAAGGCACATGCGTGGAAGAGAGCAGCGAGGACCATCGTCTCCCAGCTGAAAGCCCCTCCAAGCTACACAGCAAAGCGTGGAGAGAAAGGCACGCCACTCGAAAGAGGTAGACGAGCATGCGCGGTGCTTATAGCCTGAAAGTACGTGTGCTGGAGCAAAAGCTGTCCTGGGCAGAGGGCACCACTGAGCTTGAGAGGTGACCCAGTCCCATGCTCCCTCTTCTCTGATGGTGACCTGAAGCCAGAAAGGCACTCCACAGGCAGTGCTGGTGTTACGCACCACTGCACCCAGCACTGCAGCAGACACAGGGGCGGCGGAGGCAGCTACCACGCCAGATGCCCTGCCAGAGAGTCTCAGGACAGGCTGGTCTCAGGAGTAAACTCCCAGCAAAAGCCTGACGGCAAAGAGTAGGAAGCATCTACTTCACATCTGCAGACACTGACACTCACCACAAGGGCCACACCTAGCGGCAACTGTGCCAGGGCCAGAAGGGCAGTGGAGATGCGCGGGCTGCCTGGTAGGGCAGAGTGCCTGCTCTAGGAACATGCACAAGCCTTCCGAGAAGAACAGAGAACAACAGAAAGAAATGAAGAAACAATATGTGACAGATTGAAATTTTAACTGATTCAAATAAAGATTTCAAAACTGAAAATACCATGACTTATGAAAAATATAAATATAGAATATTAACAGCAGACCTGATCAATCAGGAAAAAAAAACAGGTAAACTCAGTAGTGGGTTATGAGATAAAGCAATACTCTTTGGATATCTAGGGGTTCGACTTCCATCTAGTAAATGGAATAGTTAGGAAAAATGCATCTGTACTGAATATATGCAGATATTTTTTTATTCTCTAAACATTGTAACTCTTTTTATCTTTTTAAATTTTTTTTTAATTTCTTGATACAGAGTCTCACTATGCAGTTCAGACTTGTAGTAGTTCTCCTGCTTCAGCCTCCCCAGCTCTAGGATTACAGGCATGCACCATCATGCCTGATTTCCAGGTGGCATGGTGCTGTTTTTTACGTTTTAAATTTATTTGGTTGTTACAGGGTGTCACTACTCAGCTCAGACTCATAGTGCTCCTCCTGTTTTCAGCCTTCCCAGCACTGGGATTACAGGCATGTGCCACCACGCCTGAACTCTGTGCCCTGCTCAACCCACCCTGGGGGTGGGGCTGGCACTGCCTGTGGTACTGGGGAGTGAACCTTGGTCCCTGCGTTTGCTTAAGCAGGTAATTTAGTCTGCTGAGCAATCTCACCAGCCTCCATTATCATTTATATTAGATACTGTGAATTATCTAGATTTAACAACAGGTACAAGGAAGACTGCACAAATTATATGCAGATGTTACACCACTTTCCATAAGAACTAGAAAGTTCTTGATACCGGAGACTCGTCCATGGCCTGAAGCCCAGGATGGGTGGGATTCACAACTGAACTCCAATGTGCATTTAAAGGGCTAATTCTCAGTGATTCTATTCCTTTAAAAATCTTCAAAACTTCAAAAGAAAAGAGAACACTTCCAAACACACAGGGCCTGCGTTAGCCTAATAGCAAAACAAGAAAAGGACGCAGCAACAAGAGCAGCCTGTGTGCTGATATTCCTGGCTAGTGTAGGTGTAAAATCTTCACCAAGTCACTAGCAGCTCTAATCCAGCCATGCAGCGATGCACCCTTCACCATGACCAAGTGGGCTTGGTCTCAGGTATGTAAGGCTGACAAACACACAGATCAATTAAGAATAGTGCAGCTGGTTTAAAAGACAAGAACCATAGGATCATCTCAATAAAAGAATGGAATTTGATGAAATACAATTACCTTATCATGAGAAAATTTCCAAACAATTGGGTAGGTAAGGAATGTTTTCAACACACTAAAGTTCAAAGAGAATAAATTCGAAAAACATTTTAGTGGATAAAAACTGAAAATTTTCTTCTAAGACCCAGAAACACCAATGCCTTCCTTTCAATATAATGCTAGAATTTCTGTCTTGAACAATTAGTCAAAAGAAAGAAATAAAAATACATCAGTTATGGCTTATATTTTGATGTCTCCCAAAGCTTCATGCATTCATAGGTGGGACTTTGGGGGATGATATTGGATTAAGAGTGCATGCTCCAATGGATTAGATTAGAACAGTCATGGTTTTATAGCTCAGTCTAATGTTGGGAGATGCATCCTGGTGAGAAGGGGCCCTGGGAGGTGTGTGGCATTCCCTGCCCCCTTGTGGCCCATCCCCAAGCCGCCTGCCGGCCCTGCTATGGGAGCCAGCAGAGTACAGACTGAGACCTCTCAATCTACGAGCTAAAGCACACATTTCCTCCTTTAAGGTGTGAGCATTAGGAATTTTGTCTCAGCAACAAGAATACAACTATGACAGCATCGAAATCAGAAATCAAGTTAAATTATCCTTAGAATCTAGAAAGAGAAAACCCAAAAATTTTCACCTAACAATTATCAAACTGATAAATTTGTGGGATGTAAAATAAACATATAAAAATCACTTTCATGTTTTGTGTATTAACAGCAATTTATCCCCAAAAGTAAATGTTTCAAAAATCCCATTTATATACAAGGATTGACATTACATGGCTATAATCTCCATACTCTGGGAGGAGATTACCAGAGTGAGATGCACCTGGGAAGAACTCAGTGACTGAATTAACCCTTTCAAAATAAAAAGCACAAGGACTGAGGACACAGCTCAGTGCTAAAGCCCTGGGCCCAATCTCCTGTAACAAAAAATAACCAAATAAGTGAAAGATGTATGAAGTCAGAATTACAAACTGTCTCAGAAAGAATGTAAAGAAGACGCATCCAGGGGGAAAGCTTGCCCACCTTCAGGGCCTGGGAGAATTAGCGTGGTTTAACATTCACATTATTCAAACTGATCTACTCACTCAACATGATTCAAACTATCAGTGACATTCTTCACAAGAATATCAAAAGAATTCCTGAAATTTGTACGGAAATACAGCTATTCTGTTCTTACGTTCTTACAGCAACGTAAGCCAAAGCCAAAGGCAGCTGTGGGGCACAGCGCTTGCTTTCAGAGCATGCGGAGACCTGTGGTCGCCAGAACAGCTTACCGGCCTGGAAACAGATACCTTTGCCTGTGGGACAGAGCTGAGCACTCAGAAACAAACTCGCATACCCAGGGCCCGCTGGGACTTTCCTGACCTGCAAGAAAGAAATCGAGAACACTGGTGACTTTCCTGACCTGCAAGAAAGAAATCGAGAACACTGGTGAGCCATTCTCAGAATAAAACCAGGCACTCGCTTCACACCTCATGCAAAATCAATGCATGATAGATTGAAGATTTAAAGCGTAAAACCCAAAATTACAAAACTAGAACAGAAACCAAAGGGAGACAATTTATGACCTTGGTCTGAGCAGTTATTTTTCTGAAGCGCTAACACAAAAGCAGAGATAGACAAACGGGCCTCCATCAACTTGCAAAGCTTCTGTACAATCAAGGAAATGATCAATGGCATGAAGAGCAAGCCCTCAGGAAGACAAATTTGCATGCTCTGCACTGAGGAGGGCGTAGTGGCCAGGGCCTTAGGTATGCCCTGCGGTTTCCTGGATGTGCTGAGGCAGCTCAGCGTTGACCTTGCATGGTCATCTTGCCTTTGTGAGGAGCCAGGAGTCACGCGAGGCTAGACCTGGGAGCAAGGTGGGCAGGGACACAGCACTATGCATGTGCTCGTGGCCTTCGTCCCCTTGGGTCACTCGAGCACCCAATGCTCTTACCATAAAACGCTCAGCACGGAGACCTTTCCAGAGCTGCTGCAGAAAGTGGCAGGAATGATGGGATAAATGTGTGTGAAATCAAGTGAGAGTTTTTTGGGGGAGGATGAATGGCAATGGGTCTTTCACTGTCATACAGAATCTGCCAAAAATTAATGCACTGGGAAAGAAAAATTTGTATCAATGGCATGGCATGAAAATAATGAGTTACCGTTGGCCTCTATAACTAGAAGAGGTGTTTGCAGTGGCGACCCCTAGCTAGCAGACATGTGTTAGTAGAGTGAACTGCTGAAGTATGCATATATTTTAAATACATATTGCATTTTTAAATTTCAAACATTCCTCATAATTTTTATCATACATTTATATACACTTTACACCATGTTATGTT